ATGAGAAGAACCCACTGTGACTCGAAACTAGTAGAGCTTTTCTTAATATTTTCACTCGAGTAACCCTCAGTTTTTAGTCAACCTACAAACATAATTATCTTTCCTCAGTCTATTAACATCATAATTAGAAGCACGACACTTTCATACCTCTAATGAAGATCATTTCATATAATGCGAAAGCACGAACATCAACACTAACTTCACCTTTGTAGAGGTACATATTGTAAATCATACGACTTTAGACCTTAATGACCTTTCAGCCGGAGCATACTCCGTGGCCTGAGGTCAGAGAAGATCTTCCGTATTCCGACACTAGGTGCAACTGTATAATTTTGATATGAATCTCTTTTCCGCGTTGTTAGAAATGAGCGTCAAATTAAAATGTGATCAAGTGCGTGTCGGAGCCTGTATGAAGGGTTATGTGATCGAATAATTGTGTTAATTGTGGTGTTTAAATGAGACGACTTTGATTGTTATGTGTTTGTTGTTAAATAGGCTATATTCAATGTTTATTATGTTAAGTTCAGTGCGTTTCGAAAATATCATAGTTGTGGTACGGTAGAAAATGGTACTAACTAACCTTTGTTCGATGCAAAGTAAAAAGAATTCTTATATTATTTAAGTCGATGAAAGTAACTTACAAAAAACAATCAATATTTAAATCAGTAGTAATCCCAAATTGTGGCAACATGACATGACAAACTTTATGACTTATTTGACATAGAAGTACGTTTACTTTTTATCAGAGCTTAGCTAGAAAGTTACCTTGTACCAGTCAATTGTTTTCCTGCCTCATAAACAGAACCTGACGGGTAACCGGGGCTCCGGGTCGACGTGCAGGAGAAGGAACGGGGTAGTTTTTAGTCAGTAAGAGTCTGACACTCCCTTTCGCCTCACCCAGGTGGGAGCAGCCATTCGATGATTTTCCCCCTTAAAAAAAAAATACATACTTGCAATAGTTCTAAGTCTATGTAAAGTTTGAGTCATTAGTTAACCTAAATGCAATGCTAACATGATGCAGCTTAGTATATACAGGAGTTATATAACTAAAGGTGGGACTTTACTCATCTCTTATGCGTTATACTGATTTGTAAATCGTATTTGGTGACTGGACGGTGACATGTGACTGATACCTACTCATAATTATATTAAGCTGTCTCATTGGCCGAGTGGTCGCAAGTGCGACTGCCGGGCAAGGGGTCTCAGGTTCGATTTCCGGGTCGGGAAAAGTATTACTGGGATTTAAGAAAAATCTCAGTATTAGCACGGAGTCTGGAATTGTGCCCGGTATATGACAATAGGCTCACCCCCTATTACATGGGACTCATAACATAAATAGTGAAAAGTGGATGTTACATTGTACAGCGGCATAATGTGCACCTCTGCCTCTCCTTCGAGGATAAAAGGCGTGATGTTATGTAATTATTAAGCTTATCCTTTGAGCTCCTAAATATTTAAAATTAGAAGCTTCGAAAGCAAACATAAATATTTTATTAATATTTATACTTTTTTTATACATATAGTTGATGGGCCGACGTTTGACCACTATCTCGCCTGGTGGTGAGCGATAATGCGGTCTACGATGGAGCACGTCGTCCCATAGGCAACCTATTCACTTGGTCCTTAAAGACACTCAGGTTACCCTTCAGGAAATACAGACTCTAGCAAAGAATTCCACTCCTCAGATGCATGTAGGTATCACGTGTCGTTAAACAATACAAATGAAAAGAAGGTTGTCAATTCATTGGAATCTTTTTATTAAGATGCTCTCTGAAAAGTACGTAAAAGTTATCTGTTTGAACTTTAGTATCACTTTGTATTTTAATGTTCACGGTTTTACACACAGGGTCAAAATACAAAAATCTTAAAAAAAGAAGACCAATATTACCTACTGAATGAAGGTTGTATTTAAGCAAGTGATAATTAAAATTTCCCAAGTTATGCCACAGGTGTGAAACTATGAATCAATACAGTTTAATATTAAATCAGAATCGATCGAGTTGATTGAATGGTTATGTAAGTTGCGGCCAATAACAAGCAGCCACTACTGGTGCGAGTACTTAGTATTGTAAGTACTTATTGCCTTGTATCATGTCATGACAAGTTTTGATAGTAACTTGTAGCAACTATGTATCGAAATTAAGTTGGTTCCAGGATTACCTCCAGGATAGGCCAAAATACCAGGGTGCTTACTCTTGAAACCAATCTCAATGTCAATGCAATTTCAATCCAATAAAATCTCAATAATTATCCAATGTCAAAACTATACAACCCTTATCGTAGCTGCTAAAGTAGCATTTAGAGTACGGAATATAAAACCAAACTCAATACCATTTAGTTCTTGAAATATCCACGCAATACGGATGCAAAAGGCGCTAGTGTTACAACTCAAGAGTACGAAATTTCACAATGTCAATGTCGATCGATCGGAATTGGATTCAAGAGTAAGCCCCCAGATCAGTCCAGTTCATCATATTATAGGGAAATGCTAGGTCAAGAATCACTTAATTTATCTGGTCTACTAAGAGGACCCGGAGCCTCGTTCTGGTGCGGAAAGGGTACACCGGAGAGGTTTTAAGGAGATAAAAATCCCACACTTTCTAGTTTACTCAAAAAGCTAGGCGCCTCTTGATTTCCCCCGTTAACAAAAAGAGGTCGAGATTCACAAAAACTTTTTGTATCGCAGACTTAATTCTGATACAACTTTTGCAAATTGTTGCAAAAGCTGCATCAGAATTAATTTTATTGAATGCTAGTTGCTTCCAGTCGTTAGAGGAGGCCTGTAAGGGAAGGGTACTGGACGTTTAGTGGCTGATGCTTAAGCGGTTTGATAAGTCAGTGGCTTCGTATAATTATGATGATGAATGATATTCATACTACCAAAGAGCTTGCGTGTCTATGCTTAAAATAAAAACATAAGATGGTGTCACAAGTTTAGCACTTAATAACTCATTTATAATAAGTAATGAGTTTTATTATAGAATAAGCCGGTAAACGTGTAGACGGATCACCTGATGGTAAGCAATCGGCGCCGCCCATGGACACCCGAAACAACAGTTTACAAGTCCGTTACCGGGCTTATGGGGGATAGCTTTTACCCGCGGCTTCGCTCGCGTTACAAAAGGATAAAAAGTAGCCTATGTGACATATACCAATGCACACAGCGCCATCTATACCAATACTTTTGATTTTCCTCGGGAATATATTATTTAATCCGGACTTCTAACTTTACGTCTGCAAAAAATCAAAGCAATCGGTTTAGTAGTTACGGCGTGAAAGTGGAACAAACAAACAAACTCACTTTCCGATTTATAATATTAGTAATAACGAAGTAACGATTAGGAATTTGAGGATTGATGGGGATTCAGGGATTGGGGAGATTGGTGAGAATGGTAATTGTACCTCCAGTTACCTCACTCACACGACGAAACACAACGCAAATATTGTTTATCGTCGGTTTTCTGTCAGTTGCTAAATACGTTAACATTATAATTTACCCGAAATTATAATAAAACAAATTATTATGTTTTCGGCTTACTCACGTAATACTTTGACGAGGAATTCGACTAGTTTCAGGCCATGCTAGAGGCTCATATTCATGGACAGCATTTCGCGAAATGCAAATGCTAGTCATGAATATGAGCCTCTGAGTGAGTGCAACGTGAGTAAGCCGAAAACATAATAATTTATTTAGTATATCTCACGAAAGTTAAAATACATACAATAAAACTCTCTCATTTGAACTTAGTACGTAATAATCTAAACAAGACGTACTTATTATAGTAAGAATATACTTGAGATGACACATAAAACTAGATGTCTAGTTCCATTTCAATATCTGCTTGAGATATTATGCGAATATACAGGAACTTATGTAACGGCCGGGAAATGAACATTACCGTGCATTACGTTGCTTAATGGATATATCTCATAATTTTATGCTACAGAGTACAGACTCTATCTTTGTACGGTATTTTTAGTTTATTAAATTGTATTTTTACTGTTGTTGCTCAAGTAAAGTCTCTTTGTTGTTTTATAAAACTTCGGTTTATTTACATCAATTCAGAGGCCGGATTAAACCTAGGTTTAATAGGCACTTAGATACTTGTCTAGACAAGCACCTCATAGGCGCCCCTTATTTCTTTTGGCACCGCCATTGCCACCTCTCTATAGGCAATTAGGCACGCACGTCTGACGTCGCCCATCTTTTTCCACCTGTCGCCCTAGACACTTGCTAGTTTGTCGCGGAGAACCTAACGGGTAACCGGGGCTCCGGCTCGACGTGCAGGAGAAGGAACGGGGTGGTTTTTAGTCAGTAAGAGTCTGACACTCCCTCCCGCCTCACCCAGGCGGGAGCAGTCATTCGATGATTTTAGACCCTTAAAAAAAAAAAAAAAAGACTCTTGCTAGTTTGCCTTATGTATAATATAGCTGCATTAATGCGTAATAATAATAAATATGTGCATAGAAATTGCAACATCATGACTACTGACATCTATTGGCACTAAATTGAAATACTATAGAAATGTAAAGAGACAGTAGTATTCTATGATATTCGGCTACTCGATTACAGATGGCGCTGCTATAACCTTAAGTTACTCAAGTTACTTTAATGTAATGTTTGTGCTATTCGCCACTAGATGTCGGTGGTAAGGTTTCGTCGAAAACAAAAAGGAATTCTTTCTTGGAATGACGATATTTGAATGATTTGATTTCACACTTGATATTCATTCGTGGCCGTGGACGAAATATCTGCATCTACTTTGTTTGTTATGACATTAGTTCTATAGCTTTCGTAAAAGATGATCGTAGAAAGCTCGACATTTCGACTCTATATATTATAATCTATCAGAGATTAGTATTCAATACTTTATGAGACCCAGGGGGTCGAACCTAGATTCTCATTGGACACACTGAATCTTTCAGTTAATTCAAATATTTCGTGAGAATGGTAAAACGTTAAAATTCATATTGTAAATAAAACTTCGATAGTAAGGTATTTATTTTTTTATTTTATTGTATACTGCACCAACGATAGGTAATTACAAAACGCTTAACAAAGTCCGATAGCAAAATAATTACGTACACTACACGCCTTAATTTTATATTTACAGCCCTACATGAGAATAACATTACAATAAAATAATTACTTATCGACAAACATAATCATATTTGTTCATGACTGAGTATTTTCATTCACTATCAATTAACACTGTCATAATACTAGCCAGTCCTCTTTTATCATATCCGATGCCTTCTCAGCAATCATAATTACAGGAGCATTGGGGTTCCCACTTATAATCGTTGGCATTATACTAGCGTCAACCACTCTCAAGTTCGCTACACCATGTACACGCAACCTTGGATCCACTACAGCATCTATATCGTGCTTAGGACCCATCTTACACGTCCCGGTAGGATGGTATATTGTAAAAGTAAAGTGCTTCAAACAACACTCCCAGTATTCATCGCTGAACAGCTCATGATGCTGACAGCCAGGCATAGCTATGTTGTGTGGCCTCGACCCATACCTCTGGAAAGCTGTCGTGTTCGACAAAGCCATCGCTATCTTTATACCTTCTATCAGCACTTTGATATCCTCCTTGTACGCGAAGTAATTCGGCTCTATTGAGGGCGCTGTGAATGGATTACGGTTCTTCAGCTTAATCCAACCAGAACTCTTCGGTCTTAGCAATAATGGAAGTATAGTCCATGTCTCAGCGTCTTCTATGGGCTTGTAAACAGTATTGTATACTCTGTCACGCAAGTTCAATATCTTTCTGATCTGTTCTCCGCCGTCAGAGTTCACGGAACTAGGTGCGAAGTGGAACTGTATGTCAGGCCAGTTACCGGAAGGTGGCGCGTATTTTGTGTTCACAAATGCTAGTCCTTCTACTCCTTGGGTTGTCATAGGACCTTTCTCGTATAATATGTAGTTCATAGCAACGTTAAATGTTTGAAAACGGTCCTTTTTGAATGTTACTGGTTTATTGACTACGAAAGTCAAACCACCTAATCCAACGTGGTCCTGTAAATTATGGCCTACCTTTAGATTTGCGACTAAAGGAATACCATGCTCTCTTAGATGGTCCGCTGGTCCAATTCCACTCAACATCATTATTTTAGGTGTCGCTAGAGCCCCGGCAGACATAATAACTTCTCGTTTAATTCTAACTTTATATCTCTGTCCATTTCGGTAGAATTCGACACCGTACGCCTGTTTTTTAACAGGGTTTATAAGAATCCTTGTAACTTGAGCACCGAGAGCAATATGCAGATTGTTTCTCTGCCTGACCGGTCGGAGGAAAGCCTTGGCCGTGCTGCAGCGGCTGCCGCGCCGCATGGTCGCCTGGGTCAACATGAAGCCTGTCTGTTTCGCTCCGTTGATGTCGCGGTTTTCGTAACCAAGTTCCATACCACCTTTCAAGAACGTAACCGATAATGGCGTCCGCCACGGTGCTTCTTGAACCGTGAGGTAGCCGCCGGCAGCGTGGTAAGGCGTATTTACTAAGTATGGGTTGCGGTTGTCTTCGGATTTGAGAAAATATGGTAACACTTGATCATACGACCAGCCGGGGTTACCAAGCGCTTCCCAGAGGTCGTAGTCGTTCCGATTACCCCTTACGTACACCATCGCGTTAAGTACGCTGCAGCCGCCGAGTACCTTGCCTCTTGGCCAGTTGCAGCGATCACCATTCATGGCGAGACAATAAGAGCGGTTGTTGGAGGGCGTGGTCTGGAATTGCCAGTCCATCTCGGAGAGCTGTGTGTAGCCCGCTAGCGCGGGGATGTCAGAGATCTCAGTTTCGTCTTGGCCGGCCTCCAGGAGCAGCACTGTCCAGTTGCCGATCTCGGAGAGCCGCGACGCGACCACTGCGCCGGCAGAACCGCCGCCGACTATCACGAAGTCGTAGATCGGCATCACCTGAAACATTTAACGAAAACATAAGATTGTTGTATTGAGATTGATTATATGGATTGTTTATCGAGATATGACCCTGAACGTAAATTACGCAGATTACTGCTGATGTCTGATTTGAGCTGATGTATTACGGACAAGTAACAATTTACGGTGATGAATAACGATATACTCACAGTATTGACATCCGTAATATAAGACTCCGGGTCGAATTGTTGGTATCTGAAGTACGTGATCCCGAGTGCCAGGAGTGGTATCAGACCCAATACGGTGATGGGCGACGGTGCCAAGCTGGCCAGCGCTCCTGCCGCCTCCATGGCTGCCCTTACAACTCATCTACCGCTAAACTAATATTTACAACTTAGCCTACTAGTCTTAGCTCTCTTAAATCCAATGCTGGCTCTTCTTTCTTTGCTCGTCTTCTGAAAGAATCTTAGGCGTGTAATTTCTAATGCCTGGCTTCTTCGTGGTAGTCGCTTTAGCCTTCTCTGTTTCACTCAGGTAGCTTTTGAGTCGTGCACTCTTCAGTTCGTCTTTGTCAGTGTCGAAGAGTTGTAGCGTGTTGTATCGCTTCTCTTTGTGGAGCTTGACGGGTTTGTAGAGTTCTTTGTTGACGTCTTTGTAGTGTTCGTTCTTGTACAAGGACGTGCAGTAGTAATCACTTTTGGAGGATCTGTCGGAGCGGTATTCGCAAGCGCTGGAGCCGCTCCTGTAGCCGCTGCTCTCTGTTGACGAGTTGTCGCTCTTGAAGCTGTCGGCGCTTCTCCTAGCTTTGTGTCGCTTGTAGTCCTTATCGTAGTCGTTGGCGCGGTAGTCGACGGGCGAGCTCCGGTAGTGCAAGGGCTCGTCGTACTTGTCCTTGTACCGTCTCACTTGCGTGCCGCTAGCGTGCGCGTACGACTGTTCCTGGCCCATGATGTAACGCGCGCTCGCGCTCTCGCGTGATTTCTGTAACAGAAATAATTTACTTTGAATACATAATTTTAACGTTTATATTTCCTTAAATAGTAAAATCTATAACCATTCTTTCATTAAAAATATCATTATTTTTTCTAATGATTATGTTTTTTGTTACAGGTAAAGATGAAGAAAATTGTTACATTTTGCGGTCGTCCATTACGTATTACAAGATTTACAAGTGATGTTTTGGTAAAGCATGGAATTAATTAGCATCTACCAAACAAACACTACAAGTATGATTATGGTGATGTATCATTATAAACATTTTATTATTTTTTTCTTTCACTTGCTACCGTTGCTCATAAAAATAATAACAAATCATCGATAAAAACAACGGTAGATTTTGATCATTAGCGTGTTAATGTAGTTACAAATATTATTGATTAAAGTACAGTGTGTCAGTGGAACGAGCCCTCGTTCGGATGGGACCGGCCGAATTGATGGCGAGAGAAATTCGAACAGGTTTTATAAACGACTTATGTTTTGAACAAGTGACGTGTTTCTTTAAACAGTAATACTCGTGTTTGTTTGAACTTTGATATATTTGTTTGGGTTTAGAAAGGGAATAGGTTCTTTTATGGGTTGGGAATTTCGTGTTTTGTCACTTTTGATTTCGTTGCCTTGATCTTATAGTAGTATTTTAGCCGAAGTCGGTTTCTTAATCAAGTACGTTATTGATAGTTTTATATCAATCGAAGTTCTAATTTTACTTTACCCAATGTCCTAATCGAAGCCAAAGGCCTGTGTGATACACGGGGCTTTGGCTGGCTCAACTTATTATAATAAGTGTTAAGACTGTTATAATGTATTTCGCATCCAATATTTCCTAATCGTTGCGACTTACGTCGACTGCCTCGTTGGCCTAGTGGTCGCAAGTGTGACTGCCGGGCAAGGGGTCTCGGGTTCGATTCCCGGGTCGGGCAAATTATTACTGGGTTTATAAAAAAAATTCAGTAGTAGCATGGAGTCTGGAATTGTGCCCGGTATATGGCAATAGGTTCACCTAGGGGGTTACATGGGACTCATAATATAAATAGTGAAAAGTGGGTGTTACATGGTACAGTGGCATTAGGTGCCGTAATGTGCACCTCTGCCTACCCTTTCGGGGATAAAAGGCGTGATGTTATGTTTGTATGTATTTCCTAATCGAGATAAGTTATTTCAGGTTATTTATATGAATAAAAACAACAAAATTGCCTGCTACCTACTTTATATAACAGTCAACTATTCTTGTTGGTTTACAGGTAAATAGTTAACTTTCTTTGGTTAAAAAACTACAGTTTTGTGGTCTCTAGATACTGCGGTGTTAAGTACGATGCCATTAGCTCTTACTTTCACTTGCATTTTTAAACTTTATTCCGTAAATATCTTTGAGAAAAACTCTCGGTACATTGTTCTGCAGATTACTATTTGATTTGATTGTAATACTAGTCTTAGGTATATCGTAATATAACTCAAATTGGCGATGTTTAGTCACATAGCATACGATTGTAAATAATATTGGCGATATTGGTCTTTCGTTGTTTATTTCAGTATTAATATTATACTGAGCCTTATTTGAATTCAAAGTTCGTTTGAGCACGGAGTGTTGTAAGCTATATATTTTGGACTAACTGTGTGGATACCGAAAATGACAAAAATTTTCTGTAACACAGACAGCCTGCATGTTTAGAAAAGGATTTGTTGTGGTAATACTTCATCTCTTTATATCAAAAAGTTTAGGACCTGACGAATTTGACAAAAATCCTACAAATAATTTCGGTTTTGGCTCATAGCTGTTCATGAAATTGCAAGTGACTAGTGAGTTACTAAATGATTGTGCCTAAAATGTTACTCGGTTACATTCCCAGTGACCAAACAGGTGCTAATTTGATTCACGTTTGTAGTAACATCGTAGACACTGTCACTTTCGTACTGAAGTTTCGAAAATTGTTTTTATGTCATGGAACTCTATTGTCATAGAGACTGGAGTGCTTTATTTAAGTTGGTGTTAATAAAGTTCATTTTTGCATAAATCGTATTGAAGCCTGACTTCACCAGGTTTTCTTTTAAATATCTACTTTTCGGTACTTAAGTTTTACATTTAATTTTGTAATAAATATCAGATACGCCACCAGTCAGTTGTCAGCCATGAAATAAAATTATATCACGGTTTTTTTTATTTAAAACCACTTTTTGTAATTTAGGAGGTTTTAATAATGTAAATAGATGTATGTGAAGAAGAATAAACATAAATAATAATAGACAATAAGCAGACAAACTGCACTCATTAAGAACAAGACTCTATAGTCTACACCAAGGACAAAACAGGACCAGCAATAGTTTAAAGTGTTCTTATGTCTCTCAGACGCGTTTTCCAACGAGGTTAACCATCCATACAATAGTACAATGCACGCGAAAATAGCTCTAAACAACATAAAACTCTTTCAACAAGCTTCAGCTAACCTTGAAGATGAAACTTAACATGCTGAACACGGCACAAAGCGAGCATGAAATGCGATCACCAGTGACAATCTGTCATGGCCACTAAACTGGTAAACAGCTGTAGTAAAGTTAAGACTGTATTTGTTTGTATTGTTTCGCTAATATGGATGTTGTTTTAAAGAAAGGTTTAGTTACTAGATATGCAATTTTGAACCGTAGTGGATTGTGATGAATGTTGCAGTTCAAGGTTTGCTTTGCCGGAAACCTCGGAAACGGTTTACCTTGTTGATTGAGAGAATTGTCATAAGGGATCTCGGGTCAGAATTCGAAATCGGGTATTTTTGACTTCATCGGTTTTCTAAATCTTATTTATTAAATAGTTCGATTGTTGACTGAGTCTGGAACTGTGTGCGATTAAAATTACTACCTGTGTATGGGATTTTATATGCTCTGTACCTCAACTTACCCCTATACAAAGCCCTAAACTTGTGATTTTTACAGTTATTGCCAAGCAAATGTTGTTTCAAAACATAATAAAGCTCTGGCCAGACCAATTTGAACCTTTTAAGCATTAATAATAAAAGCCACAATGTTATGACTCTACTGTTTTTCTAAAAAGTATTGGCTAAAACAACGTACAACACGATTAACATTCTTACGAGAAAGAATTAAGATCGTCTTTTCAGTGCAAAAATGCCTTGCATGTCTTCCCTAATAAGGTTTGTTTTAAAGATGCAAATTTCATGTTTATTTATTGTTTGCAATTATTGTTCGCGAAATCCTTAAAACCAATATTTTTTATTTGTCAAAGTCAAAGTAACACTTCAAGAGTGTTTTGTAAAGTAAGTTCAAAAGAGTTGTTGACCGATTATGCTCCAGAAATGAGTTAAAAAGGGGTGTTCAAATATGATTTTTATTTTAAGTATGGTAAAGGTCAATATTTTGTTTTCGTGGTCTTTTTTGAAGGGGGAAAATCATCGAATGACTTCTCCCGCCTAGTGTCAGACTCTTACTGACTAACAACCACCCCGTTCCTACTCCTGCATTTAGAGTCGGAGCCCCGGTTACCCGTTAGGTTTTCGTCGTCTATCCTGTTATGATAAGAGCTGCAGTACTGACGAACAATACTTATAGTACAAAAGTCCTTGTGCTATTTCAAATTCTATGTCTTCTTTATCTAGATAAAGAAATTACAATAACACACTTTTTATTTGCAAAAGTAGTGGACAAAAATGCAGATGAAGCACTCTCACAATCATAGTGAAAATGGAATCAACTATCAAGACACCTCTCGTTATCCGTTTTACTTATTATAGGCGTAATGTTATGCACGTAGTAAATATCTAGTATGTCATCTAAGAACCCGTTAACTTCACAACAATGTAATTTCATTGTTCGCTGTTTTGTACGAAGCATTCTTAATTTTCAGAGCAAAACGAAATAATGATTAATACTGTGGTTGTCAGTTCACAGGAATTGAATACAATTCAGTTTCTTTACATTAACGGTAGCAGTCCGAAAATATGAGAAAAATAAAAGAAGTACTCGCTATATAATTATGAATTCGTTAGTCAAACCGTCAAAAACGACTGTAAAAAAATCCTTTCCTAAAGTCGGGTAAAATTGTCAACGGTGATAAAAGAGTGAGGTGTTAAAACTAAGACTGCCTCGTTGGCCGAGTGGTCGCGAGTGCGACTGCCGGGCAAGGGGTCTCGGGTTCGATTCCCGGGTCGGGCAAAATATTATTCGGTTTTTAAAAAAATCTCAGTAGTAGCACGGAGTCTGGAATTGTGTCCGTTACATGGCAATAGGCTCACCCCCTATTACATGGGAGTCATAACATAAATAGTGAAAAGTGGGTGTTACATTGTACCTCTACAGTGGCATAATGTTCACCTCTGCCTACCCCTTCGGGAATAAAAGGCGTGATGTTATGTTATGTGTTAAACTAGCCTATTTCTGTGCACCATAAAAACATTTTAGTTCATGTTTTGTGTTTTAATTTCCTCCGTACCCGCATACGTATCGTCTATTAGCGAATGTTCCGTTAGCTCCGCACGCGCATATGTACAAGTTTCCGCACCGCCACCTTGATATTAATTACGTACAACTAACTGTAGCATCTGCTTACCACGTTCATTTAATGAATGGTTACATTGCGCGTTCATCTTTTTGCAATGACTGTATAAAGATTAAGTTATAGTTTTATGGACTTTTTGGTACATAACCTAAAGTGGAAAACACTTCAAAAGTAATTTTGTCTGAGGAGGACCAAAGGGACTGTCAAACTCCTATTGACTGAAAATTACTCTGGTATTTCACTTCACTCCTGCATATTACTTTTAAAAAATCCATGAAATCTCTTAGTGTTAACCAAGTGTTGCACTTGCAACTACTAGAAACACTGCACTACAATCTACAAACAATTATGTCGACTTACATGTCAATGGTTGCCAATGAAATATTATTACAAAATTATTGAAATGTTAGACATTATGAAAAGGTTCTGACCCGCAAACTAAAAGCTCTTACAGCTCAACTGGTAATTCGAAATACCTTGAACA